AAGTGCGAAACTATATCCATTTTCTTCCCCTTAATCAATTTCTGTCGTCTGGGGTGGCAGTCAGAGCTGCACCCAGTACACAAAGCACCAGCCCCTCACTGATCCTCCTGCAGGTGGTGAGTCCACAGGAGCCCTGATCTTTCAACGGGGGCTTCAGGCAAAGTTGGGTTAAGAGTCGTGCTCAAGGACAGAACGACAGCAGACATCAGTGGGAGCCGTGAAGTAGGTGTCGTGGTGGGCTCGACCCCACAACCTTCAGGCCCAAAGCCCAGTGCTCTATCAACTGAGCCACTTGTCGCATTTATAAACAGTCCATGAAAATTACTGATATTAAACCAGGTAAGTAAGTAAACTTTACTTATATAGCACTTTCACGGTCCAAAATCACAACAGCAAGTAAACACACTGAGAACTTTGAAAGATTGAACAAGGATAACGGACAAAGCCAGGATTATGGACAAAGAGAGCCATTAGTAACACAATATCTACAAACACATTGGACCACACACACCAGAGATTGTGATAATATAATTTTTATATGAATGTTCCATGATTTTCACGTTCCATTGGATACAGGGAAATTAACACCTTTGAAAGCCCCAAATTCACCAAACTTTAACCAAACGAAACATAGAAACCGTATGTTTACTGATGATCTAATGTCGACTGAAAGAAGAATAGAAAAATCCAAGCAAACATTACTCAAAGCTACATAAAAGGCAGCCGTGTGCGGAACCAGCTGCTGATAGCTCATTCCGACGACAACGCTGTGTAATTAGCGCAGATTAGTTTATTTGGATAAGAACAGCTTAAGAACTTCATCACACTCATATATTCCATTTCATTAGGCCTGTATCATGAAAGAGCGTGGGTTAAATGATGTCTTCGCTCTCTGCGCTGGCACAGGAGCAGAGAGCGTGTATCGGATCAGCGGCGCTACAAACGGTGACGTACTGACAGCTCCGGCTCGAATGGGAGCATGAAGTCAGTGCCGCGGCTATGCTAATGAGAAGCTAATAGCGGAGGATGAGGTCAGCGCCGTCATGAAGCGGCGAGAGCAGAGGACCATCACTTTGTGTCTCGTACACACACACACTGGCACAGGTCTCGCAGATCGGCGCACACTGGGAATAAAGGCTACTTTAGAGCTCACCAGGGATAGACATGACGCTTGTGCTTTATACAGGCCCGGAATAGACCCATGTTCAATTCAAGTTTATTTTTGCGTAGCTCTAAATGGCAATACAGCAGTCGTAATGGCGGACTTTACAAAGATGTCGATTCTTCAACAATAGATCAGAGAATCAAACAGTTTGAATACAGGGAATGCAATGATAGCAAATACATTGGAGACATTGGTCCATAGCGAGCGGGACGAGCAATGTCCTTAGACGTACATGTGTGGCAGTGTGTAGCCATGTGTGTGTGTGTGTGTCTATGTGTGTGTCTGTGTCTGTGTGTGTGTGTGCATGTGTGTGTCTATGTGTGGCTGTGTGTGTGTATGTGTGTCTATAAGTGGCAGTGTGAGTTGATGCGTGGATGTTTTTGTCTGTGCGTGGCTGTGTGTGTCTGTGTGGCAGTGTGTGTATGTCTATGTGTGGCTGTGTGTGTGTCTATGTATGGCTGTGTGTCTCTCTGTGCAGCTTTGTGTGCGTGTGTGTGTCTCTGTGTGCGTAAATCGTTGAATATTTTGTGTATTGTTCTTAATGTGATTTTGAATGTGTCTATGTGTGGCTATGTGTGTTCGTGTGTGTGTGTATGTTGTGTGTATGGTTGTTAAAGTGATTATGTATACTGTCATGACATTTGTCATCAGTCTCGAGTATGAAAATCACTTAACACAAAAACTGGTCCTTACAAATAGTTGGCATGATTCTAACCACAGCCGTAATTGTAAAAAATAAATAAAAAATTATAAATCTTTGAAAAATGGCCAATAAACAATGTCATGGAGAAAAACGGTTTGAGGCTCACTGGGTCCATTACTGTCCAGCATGATGTTACATTTAGGAAATGTTTAGGAAATGTTTATTGTGTGATTGTTTGTATTTAGAACCATGTGAGCGGTAAATGATAGATCAATAAACTCTGTGAAACACTTGTACACGTGGTAATGTTTTCTGCGGAGGCTCTGGTGTTACTCACGTGTGGTCGAGCAGCCGTCAGATGTCAAAATAGCCCTGGTTTTTTCATAGTTTGTGATGTAGGCTACATTCCCTGGAGTGAAGATTGCATTGGATTTCCCACCTTTTCTTCACAAGTATTACTAATTTGGTTCCATACGTTTATATTGTCCTAAATAATCACAATATTGATTACACAAATAAGTCCTGACTGGTCACTTTTGCTTCAAAACTGTTTTTTCAATGTTATCTTTAGAGTAGATTACAGGCGGCTCTACATATACAAAACTCAGCTTAGTGTAACAACGGCTAATAATTTCACTTCTGTCTGACATGGAATGCACAAGAATCTTAATAACTTTGTGTGCTACAAGCTAATCCACCCAAAACAGTGATGGTCCATTTTACTCTAGACCAGAGCAGGGAAAATGGTTCGAACGAAGCGGCTACACCACCTCTGCTGCTGTGACCTGAAGTGCGGTTGCATTTTGACACAATTGTTAGCTACTTTTAGAATGTTTTTTTGTGTGTGTATGGATGCATGTGTGTCTGCTGCTACGTATCTATCTATCTACAGTATCTATCTATCTATCTAGAGTATCTAGAGTATCTATCTATCTATCTGGAGTATCTACAGTATCTATCTATATCTACAGTATCTATCTATATCTACAGTATCTATCTATCTATCTATCTATCTACAGTATTTATCTATAGTATCTATCTACAGTATCTATCTATAGTATCTATCTACAGATCTATCTACAGTATTTATCTATAGTATCTATCTACAGTATCTATCTATAGTATCTATCTATAGTATCTATCTACAGTATCTATCTATCTATCTACAGTATCGATCTATCTATCTATCTATCTACAGTATCTATCAATCTATCTACAGAATCTATATATCTATCTATCTACAGTATCTATCTATCTATCTATCTACAGTATCTATCTATAGTATCCATCTACAGTATCTATCTATAGTATCTATCTACAGTATCTATCTATAGTATCTATCTACAGTATCTATCTACAGTATCTATCTATCTATCTACAGTATATATCCATCTATCTACAGTATCTATCTATCTACAGTATCTATCTATCTACAGTATCTATCTATCTATCTATCTACACTGTAGATAGATAGATAGATAGATATAGATAGATAGATACTGTAGATATCTATCTACAGTATCTATCTATAGTATCTATCTACAGTATCTATCTATCTATCTAGCTATCGCTCTATCTATCTGTGGCATATGGGAACACCAGGTTCCACAGTGGGGCAGCTGCAGCTTGTGTCCTTAGGCAAGACACTTCACCCACATTGCTTAGTAGTTAGTTAGTTGTTGGAATGTACACAGTATACGTATGTGTTTGTATGGATGGGTGTGTTTCTGCTGCTGCTGGACCGCTGAATCTCTTCTCCATCCATCCATCCATCCATTTTCTACCCTTTAATCCATTTCTGGGTCAGGGGGGTGGCAATCAGAGATGCCACCCAGGCACCAGCCCCTCACTGACCCTCTGCAGGTGGTGAGTCCACAGGAGGTCGGCTGCTCTCTGACTGTGAGCATAGCCTTGATCTTTCAGCGGGGGCTTTGGGCAAAGTGGGGTTAAGTGTCTTGCCCAAGGACACAACGACAGCAGTCATCAGTGGGAGTCGGTGGAGAAGGTGCAGAGGTGGGAATTGAACCCACAACCTTCTGGCCTTAAGGCCAATGCTCTACCAACTGAGCTACTGAATCTCTTCTCCAGGGGATTAATAAAGTATCTATCTACCTAACTAGTATTTGTTTTTGTTTTATATGGGCCTTTCATGTGTCTGAATTAAAGATTGAATAAAACAAATATGAGTCTGATGCGTGTGTGTGTGAATGGTTGGTGTCTTTGAGTGTCCCAAATAGCGCTATATTTGACCAATGCATTATTATTATTTTTATTTTATTCTATTATCATTAAAACTGTCCTAACACTGTAAATGTGCAGGAACTTGTCAGCGAAGCAAGCGAGAAACAAATGCCCTGCTCTGGTTGTAATGATAATGACACTGGTTTCCACTCGGCCTGTGAACCCAAAACAAATACACCCATGTGCATTCGATCAGCCGACAGTCGGGTTCAAAGCACATTGTTTGTATAAAAGCTCGGAGCAAAGCAAAAACAAGTGACATTAGCCTGAGCGGCAAGAGACGATGGGACGAGTCAGATGTTTCTGATAAACCTCCATTCAGCAAATACAGTAAATGTCGGCGTTGGCCTCGCGACTGCAGATATAGCACCATTACTGCTCCACAAACAAGCTTCATGTTGGATCCACAGCTCGACGTAACAAGGCCCAAAATCTGCTGACTTCAACGGTGATTATCAGGTCCTCAAGCTGATAATAATGTATTTTGTGAAGTATATCTTGATTATAATATGTTGATAGAACATCTAGGGCTGGGGAATCGCAAAAGACTTTCCCATTTGTGAGAAACTACACTCCACTCAAGACTGAAAATTTCAGAGGATTTTTTCTCAGTCAGTTATGCATTTTTATAATGGCTTTTGTGAAGTGCTTATGGCTGGGTGACCGAACTTTCCACCTCATTAAAAGTACATGTTATATATCTCACCAAAAAGTCTCTTGCAACAGATCAGACCACAACTTGTGCTTATCTTATTAGAAAACAATCAGACATTTTGCCTCATGTGTCACTATTCAGCTCATTGGGCTGAGATCTGATTGGCTGGACAGGAGCTTTTCAGTTTTCTGTCTAAAACAGCTGAACTAAACAGTGTGAGAGTGAAAGAAGCCATAAATAGCCAACCATAACAAGATTTTGAATTGTTAATTGAAGGGAAAAAAGTGTTTTCTGACCTGATTATAGGTGGCATCGAGGAGTGTGTCCAGGTTCTGCAGCGGCGCTGGAGTCTTGTCCTTGAAGCGGGTTAGAAGACGTCTTTGGATGGCTCTGAACTGAACGGCCCGCTCCGACAGCAGATCCTGGTACTGTTTTGCACTGACACGCAGCTACAACAGAAGTACATTCACAATGAGGACAAATGCTCCTGACTATAAAAGCACAACAAAATCTACATATTTGATGATGCAGGACATTCAAGGACATTTATCAACATTTATAGACAGTGGCCGTCCCGCTCTATGGACCAATGGCTCCTCTGTGTTTGTTTTTATTGCATTTCCTGGGTTCGAACTGTTTGATTCTCTGAACTGTTGTTGGCGGATCGACAACTTTGTAAAGTCAAAGATGATTGCGGTTGTGATTTAGGCAAATACACAAATTTTTTGAATTGAATTCAATTTATGTGCTGGGGTTTATTCTTGTGGATATGTAATCCATTCTGATTTAGTCCATCAGGTTTTAGAAGTAGTAAATAAGGATAATATTTGATAGAACATAGATAGTATACGGTGACAGAAATATGAAGGGCAAAAAATGTTTTGTGCCTGTAACCCCTAATACCACCACCAGAGGTAGGTTTGGAATTTCTGTGTTTTTTTCTACATTTGAAAATCACTGGCAATGACTGATTTTCACCATTCTTTGGGTGTGACGTCATAGTGATATAATAACAAAATGCTATTAATATAATACTGTTTTTGATTCAGGAACAATGTAGTAAAATTATGCTAAATATGTCTCATTTAATCTAAACTATATGCGCTGCACATAGTGGGAAAATATAGAAACAAACTGACAAACCTGGAAGTGTTGTTCAACCGCCAGGAAGTAATCCTGCAGTGGGATGGGGCCGCTGAAACTCTTCCGGAAGTCTTTGACGCCGTGTTTGGCAAAATGGCGGTCGCACCTTTGGACGAGCTCCTTGGCGATCAACCACATGTCTTCGAAACTGTCGCTCTGAATACGGTACCGTTCTGAGGAAACAAGATCCAAGTCACCGATGATAAAGTTGCGTACGGCTCAATGTGTCCGAACGAAACAGGACTGGACTCACGTGAGGATTTGGAGGCGACCAGAGAAACCTTTTGTCCCGACAAGAACTGGAAAGATAAACTGTTCCCGTCCTTTTCTTCTGACTTGGGTGAAAATTCTTTGGGAAGAAATTAAATTGTCAGTGTTGTAGAAATCTGACTTTTATAGAAGCGTTATTATTCATATTAGACTGCAGAGTCAGATGGGCAGCTGTATTCTACTTATCTAAAGGAACAATGTAACCAAGTAAGCAAATATTAGTGTCTTTATTTATATAGCACCTTTCACAGACCAGAGTCACAAAGAGCTTAACCATACGTCTGTGTCAGAGGACAGTATGTCATGATGCAGACTTTATTTTGAACTTTGATTTACTTTTTTACAACCTCTTCTGTTGTCTTGCCTTTTTGAGTTTTCCTTTCAGACCCATTGATTGTTGGCCCCGCCCTAAACTGATGATGTAACCAGTGTCTCCTTGTGTGTATTTAGACCCTGTGCATTTCCCCACTTTTTGTCCGTCTATTGTCTTTCCCACATTTATTTGTGTGTTTTACTGTTTCCCTGGATTTGGTTTTATTTAATCAAATTACACCTTATTTTCAGTCCTGCATATTGGGTTCATGTGCCAGATCAAACAGATGCTTTCAAACATCAGACTGGTGATCGGTTTAGAAAGCGGAAAGAACATCCTTGATTTACACAAATCAAATTGTGGATTTGTTTATTTAATATCAGAGGTTGATCTGTGTTTGTTTACTACTGTCTATTTAGTGTCTTGTATTATCCTCATTCAGGGATGACGGGCCATCCAGCGGTGTCAGGGCGAGGGTTTGCCCATGAATATGAATGAATAATACTTTGATTGTACTACAGCGCTGGGGTGTCTTTCATTTTACTTTTTATGCGGTTTATTCTTTACAGAAATTCCGTAACATCAGCTCCACAAGCCAATTGAAAGCAATACAAATAAAAAAGGAACTGCCTCAACAAGTTCTAAATCAAAATGGTAACAGTTGTGATATTAAAACGAAGGAAACATGACGTATTGCTGCGATAAGACGAGCGGCATGTGCAGATGAGAGCTTGGCTTTTACATTCGTCAGATGAGCTCTGTTTATACAATGAACTCACATTCTATAAAGGGTTATAAACCAGATTTAACGTCATGTCAATTTTTGGCAAACAACTTTCATTGAATTCTTTGAGTTTCCTGAATGAGTATGTAAGTATTGCAACCATCTGCTGAGTGTTTAGTGAAATCTGTTTTAAAAAGACCAACAGAGGAGAGTGCATTTATCTATAAAGCATCTGTCCGTCCTCTTTCTTTGATTCATGACTCAATGTTACAAATGCAAAAAAAATATGTATTGTTAATTAATGTAAATAGCAACTGTGATGAGAGACCTTGCACTGCAAAAATGATAAAATATGAAGTAATAATTGCTTGAATCAAGGGGATTTTATCCTCATTTGAATTGATTCTGTCTTATAACATGATTTAACAATGTGACAAAGCCCTTTAAGTTTTATTTCAAGAACCGTTGCATTTTTTTCTCATTCCAAGGGAGACATTTCGCTGATTTTTTTAGCAATCTTTGACTTATTTTTCATCACTTTTTGCAGTGTGTGAATGGTTGGTGGTGGTGGGAAAAACCCATGGCACAGACTGGTTGCCTCACTTCTGTCAGTGTGCCCCAGGGCAGCTGTGGCTACAGTAATAGTTTATCCCCACTGTGTATAGAGTGAATGAATAATGACATGCCAAATGGATGCATTTTTATTAATAATATTCTTATTGGTAATATTTTCAGCTCTTGAGAGGCGGTAATGCAATGATGGATGAAAACAATACTCTAGTGGTGTTTCTATATTTTTCACTTAAACTCCATTACTTAAAAACACACAAACTGTTCAGGCTTGTACAAAGACATGTTGCTTGAATCCCCCTCCTGTAGAGCTCTGACATTAAATATTGCTGCATGTGGTACCTGGGAACATGGTTTGGAGGTCAACAGGAGGCTGGTTGGTGTCTATCGTGATCTTAAACTTGGTGCTTTTGGCCGGAGTCGAAGAAGCGCACACTAGCACCAATGGAAGACTGAATCTGCTCTGAAGAACTCTGGGAACCCCTGGAAGAGAAAAATCGTTCCGTGTATTTATTTAAGAAACAAAAACTAAACTTGTTCATGTTTTTTAGCCAAAATCATTATTTTGGTGGCATTTTCCATACGCAGCGATGTCCCTGCAGCAAATCAAAGCAAGTTAGCCCCGCTGTCTTGCCGGCTTTCTCTCCAAACAAGAGGTTGGCGTTTGTTAACATAGTAAACAGCTCAGATAGTCAGATTACAGCTGTATCACACAGAAAGGCAAACTCATAGGCGTGTTTGTTATGGATCCAAAAGGGAAGCAGTGCGAGGAAGAGAGAACAGAGAGGGAGGGGACCATTGGCCAAGCATAACTTTGTCCTGAGCTTAAGCAGTGCTGAGCTTGGCAGAAACCTACACTTAGCTAGAATAACAGAGAAAGGAAGGAGCGATGGAAGAAAACAGTTGTTAAAAAAAAGGAGATGGAGTAGAGAGTGAGTGGAAATAGCCCAGCGTGAGAGACAGACAGAATAAAAGTGACAAATGTGCAACAGAGACAGAGAGGAGGAGGAGGAGAAGAGCTCAAATGACCCAATGTTCCAGGTTATTACACTCTAGAATTTATTACACACCGCTGTACACTTTTTTTTCTTTCGATACACGCAATTATGATGTGATTAGGTGAATAATTCAATTTGCAGAGAGCGGCCGAACAGAAGCAGGGAGAGATGAGGAGCCAAGGGAAACAGGGTGGGTTTGAGCAGAGGTGATGGCCTTCCCAGACCGAGGATATTCTATGTTCTATATGTTGAGGAATCTATAAAACTGAGCCAAGTAAGATGCGAATTAGCAAGGAATAATGCTATCAATATCACAAAAGCATTCACAGACTGGCAAAACTTTGTGTCCATGAGCACTTCCTTATTGGTCTTCATTGAGCTAGCGGGTTAGCATTGTCCATATACAGTCCATCCATTTTCTTCCCCTTAATCCATTTCTGGGTCGGGGGGGTGGCAGTCAGAGCTGCACCCAGTACACAGAGCACCAGCCCCTCACTGATCCTCCTGCAGGTGGCGAGTCCACACGAGGCTTGATCTTTCAGCGGGGGCTTCAGGGAAAGTGGGGTTAAGTGTCTTGCCCAAGGACACAAAGACAGCAGTCATCAGTGGGAGTCGTGAAGTAGGCAAGGCAAGTTTATTTATATAGCACAACTCACACACAAGGATAAGATAAAAATATAAAATCCCTATAAAATATAAAAAAGGTCTCATGGGCTCGAACCCACAACCTTCAGGCTAAAAAGCCAATGCTCTACAAACTGAGCCACTACTGTATCTATATACAGTGTGTGGTTTTAATACATAGACATACAGTAGTTCCATGGTTGTGGTTTGAAAGTTAGATACCACAGCTTTAAATAGTGAGTGTGAAATGTGTCAGAATCAAAGACTGTGTGGGTTAACTCAGGCTGTATTCTTTTCTCCCCTTTCCCTCCATTTTTTTAATTTTATACATAGTCAAACCATAAAACTTCTAGATTCATTGAAATTCTCTCCAGTTACATCGCTGTAGTTTTGTTCTGGGCAAATTTATACAAAAGTTAAATTCCATATTTATTAACTACCAGTTATAGATTGACTGACTGAATACATTAATGTTTAATTGATATATCAAAATATTTACAAAATATTTACCCCCCTAAACTATACAAATGGCACAGAGAATGAGCGGTTTGCACTAGTTTTAATGCCGGTCAGACCAGGGCCTTCTGGGTGGAGTTTGCAGGTCCTCCCTGTGTCTGTGTAGGTTTCCCCCAGGTGCTCCGGTTTCACCTACCACTAAAAGGATGTTGATTAGGTAAAATCCTCCAGCTCTGGTCCTGACCGAGCCGAGCATCAATATCTAGAGATGGATCCTGGGTGCTGTACTGTTGCGACCACTGCCCCTGACAATGAAGTATTACTTAACTAACAAAACTTAACTTAATTTAATTTTGAAGCTAAATATTGTGTTAGAAAAGAGTTGTTTTCCGATCCGCAAAAGCCAGCCAGGCCTGTAGGGAGGAGACAAAAAGCAGCCTCCATATGATACAGTGAATAGCTGGCTCACACTTATCTGATTGATGCATGTTCTAGTCCTTTTCCCATAAATCACAGAAGGCTTTTTGACCGATGACATGGCCACAGTGTTCGAGAGCAGCTTTGACACAAATTGAGACGGACGTGATGTGCTCTGGTGATGGATTACCCCGAGCCAGCAGGTTTTAACTCTCTCCAAGTGCATTTTCATAATGTACAGAAATGAATGAAACTGCGGGCTGTCTGGGAGGAAGGCAAAACATATTTAAAAGAAATCAAAAACATTTCCGTGAGCCTTGGAAAGTGCTCCGCGGTAAGTCAGTTTATGTGAAATGCAGTAAACGGGATACATTGGCAGACGTTGGGCGCACTGAGACGTTAGCGCAAACAGTAAAATACAGGGTGCCGTGTTATCATCCGCGCTCGTGAATGGGACGGCCTGGTGTGGGAATACAGACGCGATTCCTTTGGTCGGGCTAAAATACACACACAATCATCTCGCTCCCTCACAAAAATCTCAAACTTGTGAAAATAAACCCGGCTTGAAAGTCCAAATAAGCGTCGAAATGAACTGTGACCGATCTTTGAAGTTTGTTCAGTTTTGGATGTATTTTTTTCTCCATAAAAGTCAGTAGCAGCATATGTTCAAAGTGGAGGACGTTGGAGAGAAGACGTTTGGGAAATCCGGAATTATAGAGATGATTATTATATTCTATTATCATAGATTCTGTGATATTTTCAAAACAGATAAAGAAACCTACAATGTCGCTTCAAACATTAAACAAAACATGAGTTATTGAAAAGTTAAAGCTGGGGTACTTAACTTTCAAACCACAAAAATATAACTGTGAATTTCTTTAATTCAGACCCATGAAGAGTCCATAAAACACAAAAAAGACAGCAAAAATACAGACAAAAAACACACAAACACACTATGTAGACAAAATAGTATATATATGGGGGCGACAGTGGCTCAGTTGGGAGAGCATTGGCATTAGAGCCTGAAGGTCGTAGGTTCGAGCCCACCACAAAACCTACTTCACGACTTCCACTGTCGTTGTGTCCTTGGGCATGGTACTTAACCCCACTTTGCCTGTAACCCCTGCTGAATAATCAAGGCTCCTATGGACCCTGCAAGAGGATCGGTGAGAGGCTGGTGCTCTGTGTACTGGGCTCTGACAGCTCTGACTGCCACCCCACCAACCCAGAAATGGATTAAGGGGAAGAAAATGGATGGATGAATAGTATATACTGTATATAGTTACTCTAGTTATTCTATCACTAGTTTTCACATATTTTGTATCTCTAGCATATCTTTTAATCATCCTTTTAACAAAGAAAAGTGAAAACCCTCATAAGCCAAACAGCTCTCGCCCAAAACAGTCAAATAGTGACTCACAGGGATCATTCTTACAGGTATGCAAAAGATAATGTTTTCTAATAACATAACGACAGCTGATTTTAGTCCTTTTTTCTCTTTCTGTTGGGACAATCACAATGTTCTGTTTCGGGAAAAAAAATTAAAGTTACGTACTCCAGATTTAAACCAGAAAACGGCTAGGACTGCAATCCTGGATTCTGGTGAACTTACACGTTCGTAGTAATTCTATAGGATGACGGTCGTAAATCATAAGTGATGTAATAGAAAGTGTTTACAGAAAAGATATCTGAATTCCAGCGAGATTCTCTGTATCCACTTCTCAGCCGACTGTCGAGATACAGATGATTTATGAGGATGTGCACCTGCCTTTCCTCAAATATCAAGTCACTAAGAGTCAAGAGATGGTTTGGCTGATAAAGGCCTGCTGGATTCTGTATATACAATCAAAATGTATGGGACGATATAGAATAGATTGTGGATACAAGCAGCCAAAATGAGTTCCCTCTTCTTAGAGCAGTGGGTCAACCTTTTTGAGCCACTGCAAACCACCAGAAAATGTAAAAGAAGCACAAAAAAGTCTTCTCACGTCATTTAAAAAAATATTTTTCACTTTGATCCAACGACACATCATCAACATGCACACAAGTCAAAGAACACTGCTTTAGAGATGAGGGTGAGGAGCTCGGAGTAGAGCCGCTGCTTCACCACGTTAAGAGGAGGCAGTTGAGGTCGACCTGGCTGGGGGGATGAGACCAGGGGGAGACTCAGGACACGTTGGAGGGACTATGTCTCGGGGAACGCCCTGAGATTCCCCGGGATGAGCTGGAGGAAGAGTGTGTGAATGAGGAGGCCTGGGTGTCTCTCCTTATGCTGCTGCCCTCACAAACTCAGAAATGGATAAAGCGGAAGAAGATGGATGGATAGATGGAAGGATGGAATATATACAATTTATCTCTTTTCTATACTTTCATGAAAGAGGTAGGGGCTGTTTAAATGGTATTTTATGACTATTACACTTAAAAACACACATTTAAAGTAGCACTATGTAAGATTTTCATGTCAAATCATCATAAAATGGCACTAATCTGTCTTTTTGAATACTTATTAAACTGATAACAGTAGTTCAGCCGAGATATTTGAATTTGAAAATTACTTTTACAACCCCTAAATCTTGTTATTGTTTACATTTTGAGGTCCCGCCCTCCACTGTTTTACCAATAAGAACGTCTGTGATCCGGGTTGCCAGAACTCACCGCGTCGAGCGAATCTCACTGGTAAAATAACATGTGGCCACAGAACTAAAAAAGGTCTTGGATCAATATCGACAAAACAAGGAATAAAACGAGGATTTCTATCAGTGCCTTTATGAAAAAGGTGGTGGTTATAGATTTGTTGTTGACAAAACTCTTGTCTATTTAGTTAAAATGGTCCCAGCTGGATTCGTCTGCATATCTGGCAACCTGAGACAGGGAGAGTAGGACAGGTTGCACTATCACTTTTGACCAGATTTGTACATATTGCTCCTTAAACATCTTAATAATTCTCACAAATAACAATTGGTAGCAGAAATAACAGTTAATTGTTCAGCGACATCTATTGCATCTGCTCCGGGTTACACAATACACACAGCGCACAAACTCTCGTACTAAAACAAACACAGACTAACGACTACTACAACCACTGCAGCTGGAATGTGTGTGAGAGGGATATTGGATTTCTGTTGAACCACTTTGAGGGCTGTCGGATAAATGCATATAAAGGATATTTACTTATGTTATACAGCCGTGAGGAAATATGCAAGGGTATACAGGTCTCATGCCAGATATAGAGTTACAGGAGGATAAACAGCGGGCTGCGGCCTCTTCCTGTAGGTACAGTCTCGTCGGCTGTGTGTTGGAATGCATCGGGGGGACTTTTGATTGTGAAGCAAAACAGTGGGTTCTATGTGGGATAAGCAGCGGGATCATTCATTGGGGGGAAAAAAATACTATTGTAATATTTAAGGTTTCTATCACTACCTGAGACAATACTCACCCTTTGGATTAATTTCTGCAGGAAAGAAAGAGGAAAAGTCCAGTCAAAGTTCTGTTGTTAAAAGAGGATAGCCCAAAAAAATATTTCAAAATATATTTACATTTATTCACCTCTTTTACAGCATAGATATAATAGACATCCAAAAGTGTTGTACGTTTCTCCATTGTGAGATCAATAAAGGCTCTAGTCTAAGACACCAACTGAATTTTAATTTTTTTTACATGTATTTGTATGTATTTTATGCTCTTTGCTTTTATTTTTTATCTTTTGTTCCTTGTTTAACCTAATGCATTTGACCATAGTTCATAATGCAGATATGAGTGAATAATTTCCTTTGATTAATTGAGTAATTTATGACTTTGAACAAAACATTTCCTTTAGTTTGGCGCCAAACAGAAACAGCTCCATGTGAAACAAGTCCCACAGTAAATGTCATGTTCTCTGCACTTTTTTGTTTGTTTTGCCCGCTAAAATTCAACCTCCAAACTCCTGAACATGTAAAGCTTCGAAGCAAAGCTGTGTTTCTCTTGGATCAAACATTCTGAGACCAACACAGAACTCCAAACTCACAAATGACAACAACAAAAAAGTCCATAAAAATATCAATAAAACAACAAGAAATTGGTCATGGTAATTCCAGGCCTTGTCTAAATAATAACAAGTCAGCTGTAAAGTTGAGATATATAACTATACATTTCTCACATCTTTAAGTTTTGACTTTCGAAGGCAAGGTCAAACCAGATCAATTCTACAGGAATTATCTGTAAACTACATTACGATATGAAGGCTCCAACAATGAGTCCATGGCCCCTGAGACCGGCAGTAAAAATGTCCGGATAAATGAGTCTGTAACTTCTAACTTTTATATATATATATATTCTTAATTATCTTTGGTAGCGTAGTTAATTTAATGTTAGCTTCTTTTTGCTAACTTTGGAAACAGTGTATTTATTGAATGTACTATACAAGTAATGTGCATTGGTTTGACCTGCTGGGTTTTCATTATGTGATAATCTCAAATCATAACAAAGAGATGAATTTCTCTTTCCCAAGTCAATATCAACAGCAAAAAACTCAAAAATAACAAATGCCAATGTTGTGCAAAGCTATCACGCGACCGCAAATGTGTTAGCAGCAGGAAAACTCAGAGTTCCCCCTAAAAAAAGAAAGCCATTTTTTTTTTGAGTTCCTCTTCTCCAGACTTTCCCATCCAGACGGGGATTTAAACAGTCAGCCGATTCTTCCACTAACCTCTGGGCTACAGCTACACAATTACAGCAGATTATTCTTTGATTTGATTGGCTGAAGAGGATTTTCTGCTAAGGTGAATGAAAAGCAGATGGTGGGAAGCAGCCATGTTGGTGCTGAGTCAGAGAGCTCTCATTTGATTAAAGTTGATGAAAGTCCAAACGTGCTCCCCTCCAGTGGGTCGTACCGTTTATAGTTTATCACTCTGATCTTGTTATTGGTGACAGAGAGAATGATAAATCCATAGAAGCTCACAGAAGTCGGGGGGAGTTGGATTAACGGCTAAATGTAAAAGACGCTTCAAATGGAGCGGGGAGAAATGGTAATCTTTACTTCAAACACAGCAGCACACAGTAGTCAGGTCTGACCCATTGCCAGGAGACTAAAGCAAAAGCACTCCAGTCATTCTCTTGTTCGTCCGTCGTTCATTCATGCCCAGTTCTGTGTTCCTGTTTGGGGTTCTGAAAGGATAGAATTGGGCTTTTTCAACTGGAAACCAACTCCGATCGGAGTACGTGTTGCGTACGTACACGGGTTTACACACGCAGCCAGAGATCGGAATTTTGTGGTCATGCTTTGGAGATTATGAATGAAAATACAATTACTGGAGGACTTCCGGGTTACTTAGGGATGGCTGCGTAGAGCGTGAGCTCCTAACCAAAAGTGAGAAATAACCCCGTAAAAGTCAAAGAAATACCACGAAAACTGCTGCTGCGATCATCTAAGGGGGGGAAGCGATGTCACCTCCAAAAAGACGAGGAAAATCTATCATACCTGCAGAGAATGACTTTGGAGAAAAGTCACACGAGGATGAAGCTAATGCTAACCCCCCCGCGGCTAGCCGAGGGAACGGAGATGAAAGCATGGGTGAGGAAGAAGTGTCAAACAACACAATATTGAAAGAAATACGCGAATATAGGCAAGAGATTAAGCAGGAATTCGCTAAAACAAATCTGAGGCTGGATGAAGCGGAGAAAAGGATTGTGGGGAACAAAGAAAAGCTTCAAGCTGTGGAAGACGTAATTACGGGAATGCTAAAGATTCAAGAACAACTGCAGGATAAGCTAACAGACCAAGAATGGAGGTCGCGGAGAGATAATGTCAGAATATACGGCATTCCCGAACAAGCAACAGGAGATACCAATTCTAAGACAATGATAACGTTTGTTGATAAATTGCTAAGAGAAAAGCTTGAAATCCCCCCCTCCGTAAACCTGCAGATAGAGAGGGCACACAGAGCGCTTGCCCCCAAGCCCCCCCCAGATGCTAAACCGCGGTCTATCCTGGTCAAATTCCTGAGTTTCCGAGTGAAAGAAGAAGTGATTCGATCTGCATGGCAAATGAAAGGTTTTATTCTGGATGGACATAAGATAAGTCTGGATCATGATTACGCACCCGCAGTTCTAATGAAACGGAAAGCGTATGCAGAAGCGCGACGAGTGTTGAAGGCAAAAAACATACGCTTTCAAACGTTGTATCCAGCCCGCTTGAGAGTGCACTACGAAGAGGGGGAAACGACCTACAATTCAGCGGAGGAGGCAACAGCGGACATGGCGAGTCGAGGGCTCTCGGTGAAGGTGATTGAGGGGCCAGACACGCTGTGGGAGAGAGTACAACAAGCAGCCTGGCAACCAGCGCGGCCCAAGAGGAGAAACCCTGCTGCAAACGCCACGGGGTTTAAAGAAAAGCTGCAGGCATTCCGTCGAATCTCATCGAAGGAGAATGACTGAAGTTACTTTTCACAATAACTATTCTAAAAGATGACGAGGTTAATACAACAAAGGATTTTTTAAACTTTTGGTCAAAAGAAGGAGGACAAGGACACTGGTGATTGCAGTCACAGTGGAGGAGGGCCCTCTGGCACACTCGGGGTGTAGAGGCTATCCCTCTAACCAACAGGTCGATAAAAGGACCTCAGGTTGGGAAGTTAAAGACAGGTTTTGTTATTTTGTTAAGGTTTGTTCTGTTCATTTTTATTATGTGTGGGTATTTATTGTTTTGCACTGTGTTTTGTGTAATGGGGAATGCTTACAGGAAATAGAGCACAAATCAAACAGTTATGTTGGGAGAACCGGTTGAAATAGTTTCCTTTAATGTTAACGGAGTACTTAACCCGGTGAAAAGGAGTAAGATCTTGACCAAATTAAAACGAGAAAAGGCACAAATAGCTTTTCTTCAAGAGACTCATTTGAGCCAATCTGAACATGCTAAACTAAAAAGGCAAGGTTTTAAATCTGTATTCTCTTCCTCCTACAAATCAGGCCACCGGAGAGGGGTTGCTATACTAATTTCGAACTCCCTAAATTACGAGCATTTGGAGGAAACACAAGAAGAGGAAGGAAGGTTCATAAGGGTTTTTGGAAAAATTGAGGGATTTGAAATAACATTGATTAATGCCTATATTCCACCAGGAAGTGACTGGTCTCTGTACAAGCAAGTTTTTGATCTTATGGTGAATTCCCAGGGTATAGTTATTTGTGGGGGAGATTTCAATATTAAGTTGTATCCAAAATTGGATGCTTCAAACCCACAGAATAAAGAAAATACTCTAACTAAAAAGGTTAATTCATTGATGAAAGAACTGGGAATCACTGATATTTGGAGAGAACTATACCCTAGGAGTAGAGATTATACTCACTACTCATGCCCTCACCGTGTCTATTCAAGAATAGACTATTTCTTTATGTTCAAGAATGATGTTCACAGAGTGAGAGACTGTAAGATCAAGACAATTGACCTTTCAGACCACAGCCCTATTTCTCTATCGGTCGTCTTAGAAAAAAAGGTTAGAAGAGTAGTATGGAAGTTAAACACAAATATTCTCAATGATCCAAAACTGAGAGAAGAGTTGAAGGGAGACATCAAAAGCTATTTGGATTTGAATGACAGCGGTGAAGTGTCACAGATCATGTTGTGGGACGCCTTAAAGGCAGTAATGAGAGGAAAGGTTATTTCACTAACTTCTCATTTAAAAAAAAAGAGGACACAAAAATTAACTGATCTTCAAGGAAAATTAAAACGATTACAACAGGTTGATAGCAGTAGTGGTAATAGCAGGATAAAAGAGGAAATTAAAGGGATCAGGAGTGAAATTGACAACATTTATTTACAGGACACTCAGAAAAGTCTTTCTCAAACAAAAATATGATGAAATCGGGGGTAAATCAGCTAAGTTACTAGCATACAAGCTACGTAAGCAGAGAGTGGAAAGTGCAATTTACAAAATAAAACACCCATTTACTAAAACAGTGGAAAATAAACTTGAAAAGATCCAGGAGAGTTTTGAACTATTCTATAAAGACTTGTATTCACAACCCCGATTGTCTAATGAGCTAAATATAGAAGATTTTCTGAAAACATTACATTTACCAAAATTAACAAACTTTCAAAATGCAGGACTGGTGCAACCTATAACAGTCAATGAACTTAATCTGGCTATTTCTAAATTAAAGGCTGGGAAGGCACCAGGCTCAGACGGTTACACCACTGAGTGCTATAAAACATTTAAAGAAGAATTGTCACCTGTTCTACTTCGCACCTTTAACTGGATTATATTAAATAGAAGAATTCCCCCATCGTGGAACGAGGCTATTATTTCTGTAATACCAAAGGAAGGCAAGGATAAGCAAAATTGCAGCAGTTATCGTCCAATTAGTGTACTCAACTTAGATTATAAAATTTTCACAGCAATAATAGCAAGAAGGTTGGAAAAAGTTCTACCTGCACTAATTCATCTTGACCAATGTGGTTTTATTCAACAGAGACAG